CCCAGAATTCTCCAGCCAGCCATGCTGGCTGGGGAATGCTGGGAGTTGAAGTCCATACATCTTAAAGTTCCCAAGGTTGAGAAACACTGCGTTAGAGCATAGGGGCTTCCATGGATCCCCTTCCTCCTCCTGCTTTGCAGCCTACTGTCTATCCTCCAAGTGCCTCATCATCTTAGGGACTAGGAACTTTCTCATCTCCCTTTCAAGGTGGTTGTAGAATAAAATGAGGTGTGGGATATAAATTGTTCTATGCATTCAGTCATCTGTGGCAAAACTGTGGCCACTGGGGACTTTTGCCCTTTCAAGAAAGGTGGCACTCGCTGTCTGAACTGGCTGAGTAAATATCAACTGCTGCCATGGCTACCTGTACAAGCCACTGCTTGCTATTTGACTGACCACCTTTTGGTGGGGGATTATTTATTTGTGTACTTGTTTATTTGCAGAGCTTCAAAGTTCATGTCGATGAAGACAGTCCTGAGAGGATCCAGCAGATTATCCAAAGGGCCATTGAAGATGCTGATTGGGTCATGGAGAAAGTAAGTGGTCTGCATCCCGTCATCTTTGCCAGATGTTCAGAAGTGTTGCTCTCCAGTAGTGACCTGGATTCTCCTGGCTGGGCAACTGCAGCTGAATATCTGGCTCCAAACACTTTAAACCTGAGTCAGTTTCCAGAAGGGTGGCGGCTGCGTTAGCCTTTCTGCAAATGTATTATAGCAATGACAAATCCATTTCTTTATTTGCTTCTCGTCAATATGTATCTCCTGCCATGATGCAGGATTTCCATGATGGTTCACCCTCAGCAAAATGTATTGCAAAAAAGAACGTGATAAAACCTCTCCCGCAGCACAAAAATACCATCACAGTTCAATTTCTTTATTGTTTTTCTGTCTGAAATGGTAAGCCACCCAAAGTCATTCTGGAGTTGGGCGGCCTCCAAATTTAAGAAATAGATAAATTCAAAGCACCAGTAAGTTTTTTTTTTTTAAATCAAATGTTTAGTTCCCACAAAAAGGCAACCCATACTGAACCACTCTGATCAGTGGCATCCACAAAGGGTGTGTGTGTGTGTTAATAAAAGTCAAGATGGTGGTTCTGACTGAAGCTCCACCCCCTTAGTACATACATAGGGGCAAAGTGCATATGTACAAACAGATGGAACTTCAATCACACAGTCACCACTGCCATCTTGACGTTTTTGACCTGCAGATGCTCCGACTCAGATCCCAGATGCCTAGGGCAACAAAACCATTGTCGACGTCTTCCTGAAGCTCAACAGTATGTAGATGCTCTGCTTTAAGGGTCAAGCTGTTCCACTCACTTAGTACCAGAAAGGGGGGTGTCTATCTGAAGTACCCCCTCTTGAGCTGAATGGAATCTCAGCACCCACAAAAAGTTTTGGAAGCCTGGTCAGTATAAGAAGCATTGGGACTTCCACCTAAGGCAACATTCCCTGACTCTTGTCAGCAAAGACAAAGACACAAACCTGCCCCATCAGAAGGGGCCTAGTGCAGGTAGTCCTCGCTTAACGACCACAATAGGGACTGGAAAATTCATTATTAAGTGGGACAGTTAAGTGAGTTGTGCCTGATTTTACTACCCTTTTTTTTTTTTGTGGTCATTAAATGAATCATGCAGTTCCCCATTGATTTTGCTTGCCAGAAGCTGGCTGGGAAGGTCGCAAATGGCAATCATATGACCCCAGGATGTTTCAACCATTGTAAGTGTGAGCTGGTTGCCAAACACCCGGATTGTGATCATGTGACTGCGGAGGTGCTGGGATGGTTGTAAGTGTGAGGACTGTAAGTCCCTTTGTTCAGCACTGTTGTAATTTCAGTCCCTAAATGAATGGTCATTAAGTGAGGATTACCTGTAACACCTTTTCTGACTAACACCTTTTATTAAAAGGCATAAGCTTTTGTGAACAAGAAGTGCTACCAGAGTCTTGGCTACCACAGACTAACATGGCTCTCCTGCAAAACCTGCCCCATGTAAGGCATGAGGAGCAGGTTCTTTCCCTGGCATTTCTGAAAAGCTGGATGGGCTTTGAAGAGTGTATTTAAAACCTGCCCCCTCCTGCAGGCCTAATTTGGAAGGCTCTGGAAATGTTGGCTCCAAGACGTCCATTTTGCTTCCAAAGAGGAAAAGCTGATCAGCAAAACATAAGAGAGCTGCTGTTGGGTGACCCACAGCCTCTTCGGAGGAAAGCGTGGGGGAAAATGCCACTTCAATGACAGAATAGGGGCCCCATGGAGCAGAGGCTCCTGATCCCAGCCCTAGCCTATCCTCCAAACTGTGACACGATGTCAGCAGTCAGGTGTTATCAGCAGACCATGTGAGTGAGATCTGCAAACCAGCATCACAAATCAGGATTCTCAAGTTCAGAAACGTTCCACCACCTATCCTGTGGCTGTAGTTATATTTAGGTTTTAAGCAACATCTTAAGCCACTTCTGCTTAAGTGTTCTACTTCCTCGTAAGAGGTATTCTCCTGCCTTTATCTTTTGGCCCACATCTGCAACCCTCTCTTGAAGTCACCAAGAATTCATTTATAAATATATATGCTTCATTTCAGTAGAAGCTCTCTCATGCAGCCCCCCAATCCCATAACACTTTGTTTCTAAAGAGAGACACGTGCGATCGAAGAGAAGGGACTTAGAGGTTGTCTAGCCCAATTGCCTGCATAGCGCAGGATCTGCTGCAGAACCGATTGATTTATTCTTCCCTTGATCGATATGGGTACCCAACTGCAAGATTGACTCTGGGCGACTTACAGTTTGAAGAAACATGAAAAAAAAGGAATTCAAAATAAAAATATTGTATAGAATAATATAATACATCCTTGGAACATACAAAATAACAGGTTAATGGAATAACAGAATAACCATCACAATAACAGAAATAACCAAGCCCAACCAACACATATTCCATTGAAGGTTCTTACATTCTGCATAGGCTCATCCCATGATCTGGCCCAATGTTTGGGGGAAGAGCCAGGTTTTTAGAGCCTTGTGGAAGGACAGAAGGGTCAGGGTCATCAGACCCACAAGGGGGATGATGTTCCAGAGGGCAAGGGATGCAACAGAGAAGGATCTTAGTGCAGGATCTCCAGAGCTTCCCTGCAAATGACCCTCCACCTTTTGCTTGAAGACCTCCAGCAAAGCAGCAATGAAAAATGTGCTTGTTTTCCAACCTGCTGTGCTTCACGTGTGTTGGATCACAATTCCAGCTGAGCTGGCTTTCTTTTGAGCAGTTGTCACTGGGATAAAACAGCATGTGAATGGCAGAAAAATGGCATGGGGGTGCCAGAGTTATCACACAGACAGTGAAAACCAATGTAATAGCAAACCTGATGGTTGCCAAAACAGGACAGATGAAAAACAAGCCGGAGTTCAGATGAGGGGGCCAAGCAGCTGGTATGTTGGGCTGTGGTACTCCACCCCATCTTTTCCCCTTCAAATCTGAATTGTTGCGTAGTGTGGTTGAGCAGTCTACGAATGTAGCAAGCATCATAACTAAGCCTGTGGGATCAGTCTGGCTGACTTTGTTCCAGTAACATGCCGGTGCAATATGCCAGCTTGGCATTAACTTTGTTTTGGTTTTTTTTTGTGCCTAGCTTCTTGTGGGAATGCAACCAAACCACGCAATGGGTTTTATGACTAAGTTACTGCAGTGCTTGGTCCAAAGGACCACATGCTGCTGTGTCAGGTCTCATAGGAAACAGCTTTGTATCTGAATGATTTTTATATAAACTTTCAAATAAAAGGATATAGAATGTAGGCTTTTAGGGTCAGTCTATTTATGAATATTTTATTGATCGTATTAAGATTAATCATTAGTATTACTAACACGCTTCTTTAATTTTCTTTATTAATCTCCATCTTTGGACTTTTCTTCCTCTCTCTTCCTCCCCCCTCCCTTCCTCCCTTTAGTATAAGAAACCAAAATAAGGCAGAAACAGTTGGTGGAGAAATGAAGATTGTTTCTTAAAACGCTTGGACTGAAGAAACCAGTTTGCGACAGTAGCCGGTTCATTGGAACCCCACTGCTTTCTGTGACTGTAAAATGTAAGAGGGCAAACTCAGATTCAACCAGCTGCTGGCATTTAGGAACTTCTTTTGATGGTCAACCTTTAATAGATGAGGGACAAGCTGTCTAGAGTGACTGATCTTTAGTAGTTGAATTTTTTGAGCTGAAATGACATGGCCTCTACAGGGCTTGGAGCAGGAGTCATCATGAAGTTGTGTTTCCACAAGATGTATTCCACGTTTCCACAGGGTTTAGATCTATGCTCTATTACTGAATTTAGTTTATGTTGGTAGCATGCAGGAAAATGCATTAACTTTGGATCTAGGGCTGCTGTTTACACTGGAAGCTGTATTAAAATCAAGTTTTGATTTGCCACAACTGCTTCTTATTCCATCTCCTGGAGATACTATGTGGCATAGATTCAACCTTCCCATTCACATCTGTGAAACATCCAGGTTTAAATTGTTAAAAATGGCAAAAATCTTATCACATTAGGTTCTCATTTTTCTTATCTTTTGGATAAGTGGTGTCTAGATGCTGATAAGTGAAATGGGATCCTTTATCTAATGAATATTTCCCAAAATAGATTGTGTGGGACACATTGCCTTTGGTATGTAGAAAATAAGGAATAGATAAAATGGTGGAGACATCGACCCCTCCATATACCATCACAGAAATGAAGAATTTGGAAAGATTATTATATATTATTAGTCTTCTGAGCACCAAGAGTCTTGTTGTGGGTGCTATAAAAATTTGATTAATCAGTGAATCAATATTATTTATCACACAAGTATCACCGTTCTCTAAGAACACTTGAGGCATCATACATGTTTTGTTTTTGCCCCTGAATGCTCAGTGGCATTGTTTTTTGGCCTTCTGAGACAGCTTTTGCATAGATGTTAAATGTGGCATTATAATTACTATAATTATACGATTTTCCCCTCTTCAGATTCACTCTATCCTTAGCATTTTTTTGATGGCAGATTTTTAAGGAGAGGAGTGTCTATGGAGCGATAATTTTGGAACATCTAATATGTAAAATATCTAACAGCAGCCCACTCTAGGAAGAAGAAGAGCGAAAGAGGAAAAAGAGGAAGGATGGGTATTTTTGAGTGTGTCAAGTCACACACGTACAGCCTCAACTTTTTCTCAGTGCAAAAAAAGTAAATGTTGCAAGTGTTCCACAACAGGGTATTTGACAAACTTTTAGAGCAGAGTTTCTCAACCTCAGCAACTTTAAGAAGTGTGGACTTCAACTCCCAGAATTCCCCACCCAGCATGGCTGACTAGGGAATTCTGGGAGTTGAAG